ACCAAAAGTGTGACTGAGACAAGTGGGCGGTTTGGGAAAGAGGCATGGACAGAAGTGGCAAATAAAATAATGGGCAGGCCATGTGGAAATGAAAATAAGTGTCACGTTCTGACTTAAAGCCTGCTACCAGGTTGTTGTGGTTTGTGTCTGGATGTCCCACCAAAGCCTCATGTGGTCACAGGGGGTGGGCTTTTCCGAGGCAGCTGAATCTAGAGGTTAGTTCATTGTGATTACTTCATTGCCTGATGCTGGGATTGAGGGTGTGAGTGCTATACCTGTCGCCCTAGGGAGGGTAGCCTGCATGCCGTGTAAAGGAGAAAAAAAGGCTTGCTCCTCCCTTTTGTCCCCGTTTGCTCTTGCTGCTTTTTTCTGTCTTCTGCTACCATGAACAGTTGTCCCTCAGCCATGCCACCCTGCCTTATAGCCAGCTGATTAGGGACTGAAACCTCCACACACTGTGAGCTAATACACCTTTCCTCCTTTAACATTGGATGTTGGGTATTTTGTCCAAGCAATGAGAGAATGGTAATTAAGACACTGATGAAGCCGTGTAATTGACTGCATCATCTCTAAAGCCTGCTGCTAGATACAGCTTAATTGTCACTTGTTACTCACTGATGGGGTGTTGAAACCCATCTGCCAGCAGTTAATTTACGATGGGTTGTGCACTCAGACCTCTCTGCTAATGTTCATCTGTATTTTCAGCCACTCCCTTGCATGCACAGTTTACAGTAGGGTTTCTCTTTCTGTGAGAATCTAGTGCCACTGCTCATCTGACAGGAAGTGTAGCTTGGCTATCAATACAAATGAAGCTTCCCTTATTTGCCTCACCCACTTCCTGCTGTGTGGCCTGGTTCCTAACAGGTAATGGACCATCCTGCTCTGAGGCCCAGGAGCTGGGGACCCCTGCTGGTAGTGTTTCCATCCATTTGAATGAATTGATTGCATTCTATGGTGTCATTTAGCATGTTCTTCTGTCCTCGGTATTTTAGTAACTGGGTGGTGTGGTCTGGTTTAGGTTCACTTTTACAGCAGAATAAAACAGCTGGTGTTCGTGTCTGTGTTTCCAGAGTCAAAATATGATGTTGGGTTGATGCCTCTGTGTTGTTAGCAGCTGTCAGTGATCCTCATCTGGGTCATTTTGTTTTTCATTGGAAGGGACATGCATTTTGAAAAAGATCACTCTAGTGACAGGTGTGTGTGTATGTGGGAGGGGGCAGGGTTGTGATGACTGAGTAGAATAATTGTACATCAAAGCACTTGCCAGGTGCCTGGCACACAGTGACGTGCTGTTGTTGTTGTTGCTCTTAGAACTGGGCGGGAGGGGACCCATGTCCTGAGCTCACAGACATTCTCCGGCCCAGGCTCTCTCTTCCTTCTTTGGCCCTGGAGGGGAAATCATCAGTGCCCAGGATCTGAGAGGCATGTTCTGCAATGCAGCAGCCCTTTGTGTGCCCCTGGTACGGCTCCTTCGGGGAAGGAAGGTTGGCGTCCCACTCATGAGGTGCTTGCACCAGACTGTAAGTGCCCTACCCCACCACTATGCCTCCTGCATGGCCTGGAGTTCCTGCGGTCCGGCTGGGTCCCGGCTTCGAAGTTTTGCATGAGCCTCCTCCTTCAGGAAGCCTTTCCTGACTGCAACCCTTCCAGCAGCCCTCCCTGGCCCTTGCTTCTGAAGTCTGGAACTTGTAGCTCTTCACTGAGTCGGGGGGGCGGGGCTGCAGCTGCCTCCCCAGCAACTCATATGTAGTAGGTGCCCCACCATGTTGGTTATACTTAGGTCCCAGCTGCCTCCCCAGCAACTCATATGTAGTAGGTGCCCCACCATGTTGGTTACACTTAGGTCCAAGGACAGACATTGTTCCCTCATTTATCCCAGTTCTGGGTGCCACTCCTGAAGGTCAGGACCTGAAGCACCCTGTTTCTGGCAGCCCCATTATTTCCATCATCTTCACAAGCCCATCAACTCCACTCACTTCTGTCCCTCTCCCTGTCTGTCTGGGCCCTGCACCCTCCACTCCTCCCTCCTTTGCTCCTCGCTGCCCTGTTATTCTTTTCACTGAAGCATCCTTGCTGCCAGTGCAGTGTGTCTGTCATAGAATCCATACAGTCCACTTGCTACCGACAGCAAGACACACTGCGAGCTCAGGGGTTAGTCAGAGGAAATGCCAGTTGAACTGTGGCTACAGATCAGATAGTAACACACGCTTGAATTCAGAGAAAATGCAACATGACAAAACACATGTCAGGTTCAAATAACCCGCTGCTCATACACAGACATTGGGAACCATAAAATCAGACCCAGGAAGCAAAATCACCTTTGTGATCCCAACCGCTAGAGGCAAGCTTTGCAGACTTTTTTTTTTTTTTTTTTTTTAGACATTTTGATGAATTTCTTACCAAACTTTTTTTCCCCTACTCATATATTGTCATAGAAAACATGTCTGTACATAAAAATATAAAAGTTTTTTTCTTGTCACAAAACTGTTATTATACTTCTTTCATACTATTTAGGAGCTTATTTTGTTTTATTTTATTTTTTGGTACGGGGAATTGAACTCAGGACTTTACACTTGCCAGGCAGGCCCTTGTGTGGCTGAGCTATTTCCCTGGCACTTGTTTTATTTTTAAAATTTATTTTTGCATTACTGTGGATTGAACCCAGGGCTTTCACGCTGAGCTACATCCCTACCCCTTATTTATTTATTTATTTATTTATTTATTTATTTATTTATTATTTCTTTTTGAGATACACTCTCATAAGATTGTTAAGTTGCCCAGGCTTTGCTTGAATTTGCAATCCTCCTGCCTCAGCCCCCCAGAGTGCTTGAAAAACAAGCGTGTATCACTGTCTGGCTGAGCCTGTTTCACTGATCAGCACACAATCTTCTAAGATGTGATGACAGTACCCCACATTTTTAAAACATCATGATAAAATATTTGTTTTAGGAAATTTAGAAAATAATACAATTAAACAAAAGTAAATTTAAAATACCTGTTAACCAATAGACTAAAGACAGTGACCACTGACATTTAGGTGACGCCATAGATGTCCCCGACAAGGACCTTCCCTCCTGCCAAATGGTCCTGGTGGTCACTGGGCGCTGGCCGAGGGACAGGGTGGGCAGAGCTGGCAAACCCCACCGCTGGGCCAGGGCCCGAGGCTCGCCCTGTACCCGGGTCCCCAGCTACAGAGCAGTCCGGCCTCATGCAGCTGTCTGGGCCTCTCTGAGCCCAGCCTGAGGCCAACAACTGCTGCGGCCACTGACAGGCGTGGCAGCTTCTCCCCTGACCCTGAGCAAGGTGCAAGTCCCTGAGCCTCCGCAGCCGTGCGTGTTCATCTAGTAGCTGGGGGCGGCCGTGGCAGCTCCTGTGTGCTCCGTGGTGACAGCAGATCCTGAGCACAGAGGGGCTCACTGCCGGCCACGCTGGTGGGTGCCAGGAATGAGCCAGTCGGCCCTATTATCCACGCGCCGCCCGGCACTGGCCAGCCCGCAGGAGCAGCGGATCCAAGGGGCCGCGCAGCCCCACTGCCACCGTGCTGAGGCCACAAGGAGCTCAGTCGCTGTCCAAGGTCGCCCAGCCGAGGGGGACTGAGAGCACGGTGACTGGCAAGCTGGGACAGCTGCTGTGCACCGCAAAGCTGGCCTGGAAAGGGCTTCAGGGCCGGGAGTGGTGGGCCGAGGCCGAGGCCCCCTAAAGCCCTAAAGGCCTGAGTGTGTGTCGTCTCACTAGAGTGAGGACACAGCCTGGGGCCACACAGTCCTGGGTCTTAGTGTGTTTTTCATGGGATATCACCACATCCTTCCGTCTTCTCATCTGTAAAATGGGCCCCCAGTTCATTCTGAGTTACAGAGCTTAGGAAATCCTCTGTAAGCAACACTGCTGCTGTCCCCAGTGCCACTGTCCTCCACACCCCTTGCTTCCCCTCCTCAGCCTTCAGCCGCTCCTGAATCTCACTGGAGCAGGGCTCTTCTAGGCTGGGAGACTCCACCCACAGGTGCGGGGAGGTGGCTGAGGCTAGGAGGAACCCGAAAAGCAGGCTGCAGCCTCCCACCCACCTGCCCGATAGCATCTTACTTCCCTGTCTCTTCCCTAAAATAGTGTGGTGCGGCTGTGTCCCTGAAAGCAGTCTCTGGCACCAGGAGTTGCCCCAGCTGGGAGACTCTGACTCTGACCTTCTCTTGCTCTGTCTCCAGCTCAGCATGGCCAAGCAGCTGCAGGCCCGAAGACTGGAGGGGACGGAGCACAACCCCTGGTGAGTGGCGGGCTGGGCGGGCCCTCGGGGTCGCTCCAGGCTTGGGCTGGCAGGGACTCTGGTGTCAAGGAGAGGGAAGACCCAAGGTCAGGCTTGTGCTCCAGTCTCAGCTTTTCACCTGCTTGGCTGTGGCCTTGGGAGAGGGGACACACTCTGGTTCCGAGCCTCAGCTCCTGGCTCTACTTGGAGATGCTTAAAAATCCCTGAAGGGCCAGTCGTGGTGGCACACACCTTTGATCCCAGGATTGAATCTAGACCCGTTTTTTTTTAGTATGACCTGTAGATAAGAGAAGGTCAGTTTCACTCTGGAAGGGTCCCAGAGAGGGTCACTGTTCCGGAAAGTTGGTCCTGAAATCCAGGAGCCACAAAGGAGAGAATTGCTTTGGACTGAACACTGCTGTAAACTGCATTGTTTCTCAGGGGCAGGGCAGTGGAGAAGGGACAGAAGAGTGACTCCAAGTATGGCACAAGAACTAAATCCTAACCATCTCGGGCATAGAAAGACAATTAAGATCAAGTGCTTCCCCAGAGTGGATCTCTAATCCTTAGCAAAACATGTCTGTAGAAACAGAAGTTATGATTGATTCCACTTGCATTGCCAAACGTAAAATTAAACCAATAAGCACACACCTGTAATCCTGGCACTCGGGAGGCTGAAGCAGAAGAATTGCCACAAGTTTGAGGCCAGCCTGTGCTACATAACGAGTTCAAGGCCAGCCTGAACTTCATAGTGAGACCCTGTCTCAAAAAAAGACAAAAAAAAAAAAAAATTAAACCAATAATCAAAGAATCTGAATGGCTGCTTTTAACCTTTTGAAAGACAGTGAGAGAGAAAATGGAAGTGTTCTGATTATATTGTTTAGGGCTTACTTTATAATAAATGACTCTGAATCAAATATTCTAAAATCCAGCCTGCAAAAGAGATCTATTGCCTCTGGGGACAGACAGAGACAAGTAATAGTCCAGAAGAAATCTTGGCCCTAGGACAAAGAAGTCTTTGAGACACTTTGGGTTCTTTTCTCACCTAGGTAACATCCCTCCATAGCAGTGCTAGCTAGGCTTGATTTAAACTCATTCTGAAAATATATATCCCTGGGTATCTGTGATACACTTAAGGAACTCACAGATTAAAGTCTGTACCCCAGGGGCTGGGGATTTAGCTCAGTGGCACAGCGCCTGCCCGGCAATTGCAAGGTCGTGAGTTCGATCCCTGGTACTGGAACCACCTCCCCTCCTCAAAAAAAAAGTCTGTACCCAGGCCAGGCATGGTGGTGCACAGCTGTAATCCTAGCACTCAGGAGACTGAGGCAGGAGGATTGTTGCAACTTTGAGGCCAGCCTGGGCTACAAAGTGAACTCGAGGCCAGCCTGAACTGCATAGCGAGACCTTGTCTCAAAAAGACAAAAATGAATAAGTAAATAAATAATAAAGTCTATACCCATTGTTTCTCATTAGAAGTCAGTGTTGACTTAAGTGTAACATTACATCTTTCCAGTCTAGTTCATAGCGACCTCTAAAGACCTCAATGTACTTATCAGGATTGCCTGAAAACTTTTCTAGATCTCGCTTGACCTGTTTTAGGTCACAGAGAAAATGACACGTGAATAAAGTAGTTCCAAATCCCCATTTACTTCCTGTAAGGATTATTGTCCTTGAGTAGCTTGAACAGAACCAGCTAAGGATGGATACAACCCCATGGAGGCTTTAATTATGGGTGGCCTAGAAGCTCCACCCTCAGGACCCGAAGGGCAAGTAGGGGAAGCCTCAGGCTCGGTAACAGCAGGCAAGGCTTTAATTAAAGTTGTCTTGGAAATCATGTCTTCGGGTTCCAAAGGTCAAGAAGAGTAGCCTCAGACTCAGTGATAGTGGATGCTTTAAGGGCTAGGTATCTGGTTTTCCTGTGTTTTACATTTACATTTTGAACACAAGGAGTATTTCTTAATGCAAAGCAAGTCTGAACATAATGCAATTCTGGCTGTGTTTCCTCTCGTACAGCACAATTCTAATTGTGAAATAGCGTCATAATCAATACTTCCTTCTCCATTTCATCTCGGCTCTAGGGGTAGGCAGGCCATGTGCAGGTGCAGGAAAATATCAAACTGCTCTTTCTCTGTAAATATCCTGTTGACAGATTCATCTTAGATTTCTCATCTCCTGAATTATGAGAAAATAAAACTTCTGTTGTTTAAGCCATAAAAAAATGTGAGGCTGAACATTCTCCAGTGCTTAAGAATACATTCCAAAGAAGTAAGAGATTTTGACATCCATTTTCCCATCAGAGAATACAAGAGAAAGAATTGTCATCCCTTTAATTTCTGCTTGATTTCTATATCGCCACCCAAAGGCATCCCCCAAGGTGACCCACTCCAGAGCAGGTGGCGGTCATCCGGAGAGGAGAAAGAAGATGGACCAGGTCAGACTAGCCACCTTTTAGCAGCTCATGACCCTATCTTCCCCAGGAACTGGAAATGTTAACTCCAGCAGGTATATTTTAATAGCACAAGTTACAATTGATCTCAGCTATAACAGTTACGTTTAAAGACAGAAGCATTGCTTAGCATTACAGCAATGCTTTCTAGTTCTTTCAAAGAGAATGAAGGCAAATACCAAAGAGCAAGTTGGAAGAGGTTGGAGTGCCTCTCAGCCTGCAAAAGAGGTCACCTCTAGAGATAGAGTCAGGGCCCTAGGGCTAAGACGTCTTCCAAGACATTCCTGTTGTCTACCTAGTCACCTAGCAACCATGTTAGTAAAGGCACATCTATCAGTCTTCTATACACACACGAAAGAAGGGAAACGCTGACCAAAATCTCTTTCTAACTTTTAGTTAGCATATGCAAGGCACCAATGTACGTCGTTCCTCTGAGAGCTGTTTTTCTTTGTGAGAGGTAAACAGTTGTTGCAAGCTGTCTCAGACTGATTTCTGGAGGGAGGAGCAGTCTAACAACAAGGTGGTTCTAAAGTTAACCCACAGCGAGTTGGAGAAAAACTGGGATTTCTGACCTACTAGCAGAGAGAAAAGTCTAAACCTGTAGTTCAGCTCTTAATGGAGGCTTAAGAGAGGGCTCTAACAGCACCATCTCTTGTCACTCTGGGACAGAGGATACCAGAAGATCCCTGAAAGTATTGCCTCTCACCTCACTGAGGAATGCAGGTGGGGATGATAGATAAGTGGAGATTTTTCCACCGGTTACCCAGTGAGGCTGTCAGGACTTAGATTCCACTGAGGAACCTTTGGGTATCCAGCAGAGGGTAGCCCTGGCCATGACCCCTCAGTTGTCCTCTCTTTCCATTGGTCCGGACAACCAGAGATCCGTCTCTGGGAAGGAATCCAGCTGCCTGTCTGGTCAACATTCTGCTGCCCATTGGCTTCAATGGGGATTCACCAGAAGATATTGGGGAAACTTGATCTCTGTTTTAAGAGCAGCAGCCACTCTTAGAGCGTTTAACTAGCCTGCAGAATAACTATTGTTTGTTTAAGTTTTT